TTGTATACTCCTTTTGGGGTGTCATCCCTCCCCACGTACTCTTATTAAATGATGCTGATTTTTTTTCCCTCTGATGTTGTCCTTTGTCAGTGACCAGATGAGTCTCAACAAGTTGAGCGAACTGCTTCTGTTGGGGCTCCATAACAGGGTGACCAGACCACCAGAGCAGAGACATCCTGGATGGAAAGAGAAACCCCAAGAGTTGTTTAGGGCTGTGCTAGGATTGATGCAAATCTAACCGATGCCAAGGCCAGATTATCATTCCCTTGAAGGTACTGACCACAATCCGGGCTCTTCTCAGTGTGCAAGAGCCCCCTCTACCTCTTTTCCAATGAAGCACAAAAAAGAAATCAGCCAACACCTGGGGAAGAGAAACTCCTCGTCTGGTAGAAACCCCCGTGCCCTACTTGCACTTTTAGACCAAATCTTGAGAGATGCTGACCATGCCATGTTGATAAATGTGGATTAAGCAGAGAAAGAGAAGAGCGATGCCAAGTTGAGTGTCTGTGGTCCCAGTATTGAGCAGCATTGTAGTGCCAGTCCTCTCTCGCCCGTGGCTTTATGCAGATGGTTTTACAAACCTCCACACAGGCAGGCACTGTTCTTGCCATTGTGTGAATGGGGGATTCCTGCACCCAGAACTCATTCTCTCTGGCCTCTCAATGGAGTCACCTGCTCCATTCCACTGATACACATCTTCTCTACAGCAGCGTCTTTATGACCAAGCAGAAAACACTGAAATATCTGAATTCAGAGTAATTCCAGGATATTGCTGCTGCCACGGCATTATAATTGTCCACTGAGCAATCAGGGAAAATTGCTAAAAAGCTTCCTGATTGCTTCCATTCTATCAGCAAAATCCTCTTTTGTCCTTTTAAATACCAGAGCAAATGATTAGATTATTAGATTTCTCACTGGTCACATGAGCCGTATTCTGAGGTTTCTCAACCCCACGCCCCCACAGCAGAAAAGGGGGTCTTTTTAATATTTTCAATTATTCATCATAAAGAAGAGATGTCGTGATTTTCTCTAATCATGAGGCAGTAATTACTTTGCCCATGCAGCACATTCAATTTTAACACCAAAATGGAAAACGAAGTTCAGTTCATCCGGAATTTCCCAGTGTCACGATAATATGGTAGCCTTTTAAAATGCAGTTAAACGTCTCTCCTGTCAGGTGAGATGGTTGAAAATGTGTGCTCAGAGAGGAAAATGGATGACCTACTTCTTGCAATTTGCATTGCAAAGGCATCCTCCCAGCCCTTCTATTGGCGGCAGAATATGCAGAGATGCCGCAAAGCCCTGGTGCAGGCAGGAGGCAGCGAGCGCCCTCTTCCCCATCCAATCCCATCTCTGCTGGGCCAGCTGGTCGGCTGGGACTCGCATCTTTGGAAGCCTTTCATCTCATTGCTGCAGAGGAGGGCGCTTCTGTGGAGTTCTTCAACCACTTGCCAGCCCATCCCGGCTTTGCGGCCAGCGCTGGGAAAGTGGGGCCAGTTGAGCCCCCTCAGGGGAAACTGACCAGGGAGATGCTCAGAGAGGACCCGCCCCTCACGGCCAGGTGGCCCTGAGCCACCTCTTGCATTCCTCGATGTGAGGTCCTTTTCTTCATTTCAGGTCCAGCTCTTCACTTGTTTCCTATCATCTAACTGGTGTGTGTGTGTGTGTGTGCATGTGTGTGTGTGCGTGTGTGTGCGTGTGTGCGCGCGTGTGTGTGTGTGTGTGCGTGTGCGTGTGTGCGTGTGTGTGTGCGCGTGTGTGTGTGTTCGTGTGTGCGTGCGTGTGTGTGTGCGTGTGCGTGTGTGTGCGTGTGTGTGTGTGTGTGTGTGTTGGGGAGCAGGTGAGGGTTTGTTTTTCCAGAACTGAACACAGCCTTCTGATTCCATCCTCTTCACAAGGGCTTATCCTGAGGCTGATGACAGCGCATCAGAGGTTCAAGGCCGCTGAGCACTTTTCTGCTGTTCTTTGCCTCTTAGTGAGTTCTCCTCTCCCGCCGACATTGTGCTTCTGGCTGCCGCTCACATAAGGGCTACAAGCTTCCATCGTGAGTCATCCTACTGGGTCGACCTTTGCCTCTTCTCACCCCTTTAGAAGTGAGGTTTTCCTCTGCATTCAGGGTCTTTGGTTGCAGGAGCGCATGCCCAGGAGGCGGCGTGCTGGGTTGGCTTGGCCACACTCACCTCGCCATTGGCCTTCAACTTGGAGCTGCTGGGAAGCTCGGGTCTTCCAGCTCAGTGAGTGGAGTTTGGCTGTGACGTGTGTGCAGGGAGTGGGAGCGGGACAGGACGACACTCAGCCGCGCGCATCCCTGGGAGCTGGGCTTTTCTCTGCCTCCCGAGCTGCAGGAGGTGGGCAGGCCCAGCCCAGAGAGAGAAAGGGGGGGAGGCCTGCACCACCTCTAACGGGCACCACCCACCCTCCGCTCCTGGGGGGCATTGAAAAGCCAGCGCCCCACCACCTTCACCTGCCCCTCCATCAACTTGAACCTGTGCAAATGGACCGAGCAAAAGAAAACGGAAAGATTTGTCACCACACAGGAGACCTCGTTTCTGGCCCCACGCACAACTCCAGGTCCGCGTGGGCTCAGAACCCAGGGCTCTGCTGCTGCCACTCACTTGAGTGTCAGTTCCCGTCTCTCAGGCACGTAACCTAGGGAACATGTCAGTTTCCTCGCCAGGAGAGGCCTGGGGTGTGGCCGGCGTGGGGCCCAGAGGGGCGGCAGTATCTTAGTTCTTCCCGGGAGTACAATCAGGCCTTCCTCCACAGCGAGTCGCCCCACCTGTTTTTTTGTTTTTCCTTTTGAAGAGACCAGGAATTGGGGGCCTTGATGCCCAGTCCCGGCCGTGCCCTGGAGCGGCCCCCTGGTGGGCGGGCGGGAGGCTGCGGGCCGGGCAGTGTGGCTGATGCAAAGGCCACAGGAGCCCTGAGCGCTCCGGCCGGAGTAGCACGTCTCCTTGAAAATGCAGGTGCGCCGCCAGTCAGACTCCTTCCTCGGGTTGTTGTTTTGCATCAAGTTTTGCCAACGTGTTCTTTTCTCTGTCTGTACAATTGCCTTTTTATAAAAGGTTCTGAAGTATTGTCTCAGTGATCAAGAGAGAGCGATGTTCATGGTTGTTGTATATTTCACCGTAGCCAATTGTAAGTATTTGCAGGGTACAGCCAAGCCTTAGCGTGCAAGTGCGTCTGTGCAGGGGTGTCCTTCAGCGCCCGCCACGGGACGGGGTCGGACAGGTCCGGATTCTCTGTGAATGCCCTGCTTTTCTTTCTCTGTGTGTATCTACATGCCTTAGCACACGCCCTCCCGCCCTGATCCCTTCGCCTGTCGCCAGAGCCACCGATCGCTGGTGCCCTGGCCCACAGTCCAAGTGGATGGACCCCTAATCAGTGATCTCGTGTGACGGGGGAGGGAGAGAGTCTCCATAGTATTCTTCGTAGAATATACATACTTGTAGGATGCTGTGTCATGGGAAACCATAGAATTGGGCTTTTGTCATTTCAAAGTTGGAGAAATGTACGAATAAAATGTATAAAACACCAAAAAGCTGTTGTCTCCTCGGATTGCAGGCCACACAGCTGGGGGGCGCGCCACATGAGGGGGAGCAGGAGAGGGGGGGTGTTCCCCTCCCCCCTGCAAAGGTCTGGGGCACAGGGCTGCTCCCATGCTTCGGCGTCCGCCCAGCAACCTCCGTCTTCAGCGTAGCTACGCACCGTGGCACAAGAGCTGTTCCAGTTCAGTTGCTTGCATTTATTTTTTTAATATTTTTATTGATGTCAGAGAGGAAAGGAGAGGGAGAGAGAGAGAGAGAAACATCCATGATGAGAGAGAATCATGGATCAGCTGCCTCCTGCACATCCCACAGTGGGGATCCAGCCTGCAACCCCGGCATGTGCCCTGACCGGGAATCAAACCCGGGACCCTTCAGTCTGCAGGCCGATGCTCTATCCACTGAGCCAAACTGGCTAGGGCAGTTGCTTGCATTTAGATGCAGATTTAAAATAGCTTCAGCCCAGCCACGGTGGCTCGGTGGTTGAGCATTGACCTATGAACCAGGAGGTCACGGTTGGGTTCCTGGTCAAGGGCACGTGCCCAGGTTGCAGGCTCAATCCCCAGTAGGGGGCATGCAGGAGGCAGCTGATCCATGATTCTCTCTCATCATTGATGCTTCTAGCTCCTTCTCCCTTCCTCTCTGAAATAAAAATATTTTTAAAAATATTTTTTAAATAAAATAGCTTCAGGTTTTAAAAAATGAAAAAAAATCCAAGTAGTGACAGATCCTAGAACGAGAAGTGCCCATTGATCTGCGTGGGGCAGGCACGCAGCGGGCTTTGTTGGAAGCTGCACAGGAGGCGTCAGGAGGGAGCCGGTGGCCCTGGTGCGGGGTGCTTTGCTGGAGCCTGGGACGCGACCTGCCTCCACGACCTGCTTTACACCCTCCCCGCCCTGCCCTGGCCCTAGGCTTTGCCCAAGCAAAGGACCATGGTGGCTGCAGACACCTACACTTGCATGTGTCCAAACACCCCCCCGCCAAGAAACAACCCCGCCCAAAAGTGCTCACAGCTCCCACTGAGAAGACCCACTTTTAAACACATTTTTAAGGCTTTTTTCTTCTTCTTTTAAATGTTTTATTGATTTTTTTAATATATTTTATTGACTTTTTACAGAGAGGAAGGGAGAGAGTTAGAGAGTTAGAAACATCGATGAGAGAGAAATATCGATCAGCTGCCTCCTGCACACCCCCTATTGGAGCTGTGCCCACAACCAAGGTACATGCCCTTGACGGGAATCGAACCTGGGACCCTTCAGTCTGCAGGCCGACACTCTATCCACTGAGCCAAACTGGCCAGGGCTGTTTTATTGATTTTTAGAGAGAAAGGAAGGGAAAGAGATAAAGAGATAGAAACATCGATGAGAGAGGAATATCATGGATTGGCTGCCTCCTGCACGCACCCCACTGGGGATCGAACCCACAACCTGGGCCGTGCCCTGACCGGTCCTGGGGTGACGCTCAGCCACTGAGCCACAGGCCGGGCAAGAAGACCCATATTAAGGAAACATAAAGTAGGGCAATTCATTGCTTTCCCCAAGTAAACTTCATGCTATCAAACATACATAGAAGAGTCTAGATCGTATTCAGACAGAAGAACTTGAGTCCCTGGAATCCCAAGTCCTCTTTCTGCCAGCTTCTTGCCTCCATGTAGAGAGCACCGGAAGCAGAATCCCCCATGAAGCCCGTCTTCTGCACTCGTGGCCCTACAAGCACACGGGAGCACCAGTCCCAAGCTGGCAGAGATGAAGAGCAACGCGTCTCCATCATTCTCCCCGTCCCCTGTATGTCCCACGGTGAACTGGATCAATGACTCCAGGCAGCAGTCCATGACCTGCTGCTGCAGAGGTGGGGAACCTGCAAAACAGATGCAACCAGATTGCTGCAGGGTAGTGGCCTTGAGTTCAAGGTCGCTGAGGGTAGTCACCTTGAGTATCCTGATGTAGCAAGCCCCCTGAGGACAATGGAGTACAAGCTAGCAACCCAGCCAAAGGGAAGGGTGCTCCAGGAGAGAATGTCCCAGAAGGTGGCATCTGACTTTATTAAGGAACTAGAGGCCCAGTGCACAAAAATCATGCACTTGGGGTGGGGGGACCCTCAGCCCAGATTGCAAGAGGGGACAGGCCAGGCCAAGGGACCCCACAGGTGCACAATCAGGGCAGGGGAGGGACACAGGAGGTTGGCCAGCTGGGGAGGGACCACAGGAAGGCTCCAGGGCCTGTCAGGCCCATCTCGCTCAGTCCTGATCGGCCGGACCCCACCAGAAAGCTAACCTACCAGTTGGAGCGTCTGCCCCCTGGTGGTCAGTGCACGTCATAGTGAGCGGTTGAGCGGGCTTAGTATATCATTAGCATGGTACACTTTGGTTGAACGGACGACCGGACACTTAGCATATTAGGCTTTTATTATATAGGATGAGCACAGACATGGGGCCTGCAGCTGAGATGCCATGGTTGTGGTGGTGTCGGGATCCTGCACCCACCACACCTGCTCTCCACGCTCCTTGCCCCTCTGAGCCTGTCAGCGAATGGTCCCCGCAAACAAGTTTGCCACAGACGCATTCTTAGGCTGGGCCACTAAAAGCTTACGTTCCTCCATTGCTTCTTCACATCCCAGAAGGCAGCTTTCCCTCCCCTCCCCATGGCCACTTGCCCTGCACAGAATCTAGCTCCCTTCTGCCACCAGCATGGGCTGCTGACCAACTTGAGAGGGGACAGCGTGTTGGGGCCTCCCATGTGGCTCCTGGCCCTCAAGAAGGTAAACTGAGGCTGGAGATGGGTAAATCCAGAATGTGCACAAAGCATTACACCTCAGCACAAAATTGCTTCTAGAACTTTCTGGGGAGGTGGAAATGTTATATCTCTTGTTTGGAGTGGTAGGTATAGGGGTATATACATTGTCAAAACACATCACACTGACCTAAGACCTGTGCATTTTATTATATATAAAATATATATCAGTTACAAAAATGAAAAACCATACGATCATCTTTGCAGTGGCCAAAAAAATTTTTTTTGACAAAATTCAACACCAGTTCTAATTTAAAAACCAAACATAACTCTAAAAAATAAGGCAGAAAATACCTTTTGCAGACAAAGAATACCTGTTTCAACCCACAGCCAACATAATTCACTTAAAATGGAGACATTATCTTGTTTAATTACTTAAATAACACATGACCTTCATAGAATGATTAGAAAGTATGGATAAACAAAAAGTAGATATTCAACCAAATTCAGCCACTCAACTGCTATAAACACTCTGTCAGGGCAACATATGTATACACACACACACAGGGTGGACAGAAGTAGATTTACAAATAATACAAATAAAAAATACAACAGCCCCTCTGGTGTGGCTCAGTGGTTGAGCATCGACCTATGAACCAGGAGGTCACGATTCAATTCCCAGTCAGGGCACAGGCCCGGGTTGCAGGCTCCATCCCCAGTAGGAGGCAGCCGATCCATGATTCTCTCTCATCATTGATGTTTCTCTCTCCCTCTCCCTTCCTCTCTGAAATAAAAAATACATTTTATTTTCTTAAATATATTTTTATTCGAGCCCGCAACCTGGGCATGTGCCCTGACAGGGAACCGAACCGCAGTCTTTTCTTTTAATTGGAGCATTTAGTCTATTTCGATTCCGGTCAAGGGCACATGCTAGGTTGGGGGCTTGGTCCCCAGTGTGGGGCCTGTAGGAGGTAGCCGATCAATGATTCTTTTTCGTCGTTAATGTTTCTATCTCTCTCTTCCTCTCAGAAATCAATAAAAAATATTTTTAAAGTTAAAAATTAAAAAAGAAAAGGATGGTAAGACTGTACTTTTTTAAATTTTAGTCTCTAGGCTTCTAAGAGACACACCTTAAGCATAGGAGAGAGAAAGTTTTAGACTAAAAGGACAGAAAAGATACGTTAGGAAAACACTAACAAAGAAACCAGTGTAGCTATAGTACTTTTAGATAAAATAGACTTTCAAGCAAAAAGCATTACCAGAGACCATTTCATCATGATAAAAAGGGTCAATCCACTGAGAAGATCAACAATCCTATATTGATAATAACCTAGCCTCAAAGTAAAGAAAATAACGCTCAGAACTTCAAGGAGCAAATCAATATACTAGTGGGCTATTTTCACGTGCTTTGCTCATAATGCTAAAGCAGACAAAAAATTACTAGGGATATACAAGATGTGAACAACATCAAACATCTGGGAATAGGCCTAACAAAAAACACACACGACCCCTCTGTAGCTTATAGTTTGTAAAACATTATGGAAAAGCTTGAAAGAAGACCTAAATAAAGGAAGAAATATACAATAGTCTCAGCTAGAAGATGCAACATTGTAAAGATGTCAATTCTCCCCAGACCAGTCTACGGATTCAGTGCAATCTCATTTGAAATTTCAACAAGTTTTGTTTTGTTTGTGGAACTTGACAAACTAATTATAAAATCTACGTGGAGATTCCAAGGACATAGAATAATCAAGGCAATCTTGGAGAAGAACAAGGTGTGCGATGTTAAAAGCTTTTAAGACTTATTATAAAACTGCAGTATAGAAACTAGTGTAATGTTGGCACAAGGGTAGATATACAAACCAATGAAATAAAATAGAGCCCCAAGCAGTCCCAGCGTATTGGGGCACTGGCAGAGCAGTGGGCAGTGGGGAAAGGATGGTCTTTTCTTCTTTATTTTCTTATTTTATATATTTATATTGATTTCAGAGAGGAAGGGAGAGGGAGAGAGAGATAGAAGCATCCATGATCAGAGAGAATCATGGATCGGCTGCCTCCTGCATGCCCCACACTGGGGATCAAGCCTACAACCCGGGCATGTGCCCTGACCGGAAATCGAACTGTGATCTCCTGGTTCATAGGTCAGCGCAGTGGTCGGCAAACTGCAGCCCGCGAGCCACATGCGGCTCTTTGGCCCCTTGAGTGTGGCTCTTCCACAAAATACCACGTGCAGGCGCGCTCGTACAGTGCGAAGTTGACTTAAAACTTTAAGTAAAGTTTATTAAGTTAATTTTAGGGAATGTTGTGGAGTGAAAGATGTAGTGTCGAGGATTGAGAAAGGTATGTTGAGATGGTTTGGACATATAGAGAGGATGAACGAAAGGAGATAGATGAAACAAGACGAGTGTGGATGGGAGAGTTGGAAGGGGTCGACCTCAGCTGTTGTAATTGTTTCCCTCCACGTCCCGCGTGGTTCAGGGTTCAATATCTGGAAGAGGAGCCGCACACAAATGAAACAGAAAAGACAAGAGATAATTTGGGAATATTGGGGGCCAGGCGGGTAAGTCCAACTCAAGAGGAAGGACTTCCACCGGTGCTCAGGCTGCACCAACCTTTTATAGTCTGAGGTAAACAATGCAGTGGTTACCATAGTTACAGTTCTTGTGAGTTTCACCTGTTTTGATCATGTTTACACTCCCTGCACTTCCCTCAGCCCATTAGCTTCCCAGGTAAGATCTGGGGAGTGTTATAAGGTCAAGCCTAATTATGCTAAGAGGACTGAGCCCTCTAAGCTGGGACTTGTTTGTGACTTTGCCAGCAGGTCAGTCCGAGGCTCAACCCTACCTCAACGCTGAGGTACGTTCCCCACACTCAGCGAACGTACCTCAATCAGATTGAGGACGTTTTTAGCAAAGGCCAGCTTAGGAGTACCCTAATTAAGTTAATAACAATGTACCTACCTATCTAGTTTAAGTTTAAAAAATTTGGCTCTCAAAAGAGATTTCAATCGTTGTACTGTTGATATTTGGCTCTGTTAACTAATGAGTTTGCCGACCACTGGTTTACACGGTTGGGAAATGGGATGAGTTTTTTCCGGGGGAGAGGGTGGGAGGCTGGGGGAGGGGGAAGCACACCTGTGCGCATTTTTGTTGCTTGGATCAAGCACTGTTGACAGTACAACCTTCCCACCGGTTCCTGGTGGAAGTTCCCGCACAGGCCCCTGGTTTGCCAAGTTGTGGCATGTGCCTTGGTCTGGTCGTGTTTCTGGCACTGAGCTCCTACAAGCCTGGGAATTTCCTAGGTGGTAAGAACGATGAAAGTGTCTTTTGTTACTCACAACAAGTCCCTTTCAGCACACCTAAGTACATTACAGGGTAGCTTCAGGGTGGGGCTGGTTGCCAAGGGAATGAGCCTTGTGATCAGAGGCTTGGAAATGGCAGCCCCAGGCCCCCAGTCTCCTAACCGGAAGTTGAGTTCATCACCAGCGGCCGATGCTTTCATCAATCACGCCTCCGCCCCCCACAAAAACCCCCAAGGACAGGGTTCCGGGGCCTTCCTCCACCTCCATGGGGACAGAAGCTGCTGGGCCGGACACTTCCAGGCCCCCCTTATGCTTCTCCTCCTCTGGCTATTCCTTGTGTTTGTTCATAGTTCATAATGAACCTGTGATCTGGTGCGGAAACTGTGCTACTGAGTCCCGTGAGCCACTCTAACAAAGTACAGTGGGGCCTTGACTTACGAGTGTCCTGACTAACGAGTTTTTTGAGATACCAGCTGTCTCTCAGCCGATTTTTTGCATTGAGTTGATAGAGTAATTTGAGTTAACGAGCTCGGAGCTCGGTCTCCGAACGAATTAAACTCGTAAGTCAAGGCCCCACTGTAATTGAACCCAAGAAAGGAGGGGTCATGGGAACGTCCAATTTATACCTGGCCTTCCAGAAGCACGGGTGACAACCTGGACTTGAGACTGGCATCTGAAGGGGTGGGGGTGTGCGTGGGGGTGAAACAGATAGAATAAAATGTTCCCCAAAATTGCTCCATTGAGTTAAGCCCTGCCAAAACTATGGCATTATCAACAGGCAGCTATAAAACAATAATCTGGCTGGCGTGGCTCAGTGGTTCAACATCGACCCATGAACCAGGAGGTCCCGGATTTGATTCCCGGTCAGGGCACAGGCCCGGGTTGCGGGCTTAATCCCCAGTGGGGGGCGTGCAGGAGGCAGCCGATCCATGCTTCTCTCTCATCACTGATGTTTCTATCTCTCTCCCTCTCCTTCCCTCTCTGAAATCAATACAAATATTTTTTTAAATAATAGAAAAGAAGGATTGAGGGGACACTCTTCTTCCTCCCCTGGGACGCGAGAACTAAACTTCTACCTTATTTAAGCCGCTGGTTTGGGTGGGTTTCTGTGCCAGCTCAGCCCAGGCCTCCTTGAGCTTCCACTGGTGATTCAAGGCCTCGCAGCTGTCTCCACTCTCCATTCCTCACGAGAGCTCTTCAAGGAAAACAGCATTTTCCTGAGGGAGAAATGGAAGCTTCGGCACCCCGCGGGGACGGGAGACCAGCGATGCTGGTTTGTCTTTCCAGAAGGCTGTTCCCTGTACTCATCACAGTGATGAGCCCTGTGCTGTGAGTCCTGTGTCAGGGAGACCAGAAGACATGCGCATTCCTGGTCGGCCGCAGCCCAAAAGCAGGCAAGTGCTGCGGGGGGAGGGGGAGGGTTGGGCCATCGGCACCCCAGGGATGCTGGGTTACAAGGCCAAGAACAGGCCAGAGACGCACAGCAGTGCCGCTGCTCAGCTGGAGACAGAACCGCCGCCAGCCCCCAGGGGGCGCTTTTGATCTGTTCTGCGTGGTGGACGGTGTTCCATTTTCCTGGTGAATGTCCTTGAAGACTAGAGAAAGCAAAATGTCAGCAAAGAAAATCGCTAGTGGGGGCAGAGGAAGGCAAAAATGCAACCATGTTTAGTAATGATTCTCTTCCTCGTCGTGGGTTTAAAGGTGAGGGGTGGGGACCAGAACTGAGAGAGCGTACTGGTGTCTCCCCAACCCCCTGCCCCCACCCCCGTGTTCACCGAGCCCAGAAGGGCCAGGGTCTGGAGATATGGTGCCGTCAGCCGGCATTGGCGGGGCTTTCGTAGTTCAGTTCCGTCCAGGCCGGTGTGACCGGATAACCAAGGTATCCGGGCGGCCTGCCACTACCTGAGCCAACTCAGCAGAGACGGGGTTGGATCCTATGTGAGCGTTTATCCCAATCCTGCCGGCAGCAGGGGGAGCAGGTCACCCACAAAAACCTGCTCTGCACCCCCAATAGGCCAGCTGCTTATGTGGGGTAGAAGGACAAAGATTA